ATCTGGGAATGAGATTCGCTACAACAAGGGTTACTCTGCTCTCCTTGTACGGAGCCAGTCGCGGAGTGCCCACGCGTCCCCACAAAGCTCTCTAACTGCCCTCGTACGACACCCATCTCAGGCGCTCATCTCCACCTACCTCCAGGCAGCTCAAGTATAAATAGGGGTGCCCCCCTCCAGGTAAAAAGGAGGAATGGAATACAATCTACATCTGGATCTGGAACTAATCTCAAAAGCTATATTCTAGTTCCCCTCTTCATACCTTGTACTAACTTGACTGCCAGAGACTCTGCCTCGGGTTCTCATCCAGGGCCTCTGATGTATTTTGCCTACCTTCGACTTCTATAGTATTTGGAGCCCTCTCCGCCTTGGCCTCAGCAGCAAGTTCTCCGAACCCTCGAAGCCTTCGGCCAGCCTTCGGGTGAAATTACTTTGTTGTCCTCGGCCAATCCGAGCACCAACAGGTAGTGACTTTCATGAGGCTTGAGCTTTAAGACATTTCCAGTTATCTAATTATTTGCATCCTTATCTTTTAAGGGAAAATTGGCCCATCCAAATTAATAGTATTATTATTGGTTATTCTCAATATTTTCCCCTAGAGTAAATAGTATATTAGATATCATTATTTATAATAATTTATTCTTAAAAGTTATTATAATAATTTGTTAAGTAGATTAAAAAATTAGGAAAAGGAAAGAAAACAAAATAAACAAAATTTTAGGCTCTGTTCGGATAGGCTTCTACTTCTGTGCTTTTAAAAATACTGAAGTACAAATTACATAAAATACCTTTATTTTGGTATTTTTGCTTTGAAAACCGTTTGAGTGAAAATTTTTGAAAAGTATGCTTTTTAAAATAAAATTACCATTTTTTGTTTGACAAAAACCATTTTGTTTTCATTTGCACTCACATTTCTTGCATTTCTTGTGATTTTTAACCAGAGTAGTCGTTGCTTGAAAGAAAACTTTGGGTGGTGTTTGGCATCAATATCGTTGCTTCAGAAAATGGTGACATATCTGCGCCACGTTGGAAAAATTGGTGCTTAAGAAAATGGTAACATGTTTGGAATCGTTTTTTCATAAAAAATGGTGCTCTAAACCACGTTTTAGAAATTGAGAAGGTGTGGTTTGGGAAAACGTCAAATTCAATGTTTTCTCAATTTGGAGCATGTTGTTGCCAACGAAGACATGATGTGGCAGTGACATGACTTTCTTTAATGGGTACTGATGAGGGCAAATTTGGCCCTCCAGTGAAATTGTGACACGTGGCACCTCGTGACAACTAGGCAAGCCCCCAAGCAACAACTTAACAAGTTGGTCCCCCCCCGGGCACCGGTCTGGCTGGCCTGGCGCGGCCTGCGCGCGACTTGGCCGGATCAGCCTGCCACATGCGCCGACCTGGCAACCTGGCCCGGACACAGGCGCCGACCTGGCAA